ACACTCTACCCAACAACAATAAAAAACACATTCTTCTCGAGTTCACATGGCATATTTTCCAGGATAGAACATATGTTAACTGCAATTAAGTCTCATAGATTTTAAAATACAGATATCATATGAAGTATCTTCTGACTACAATGAGATGATGTTAGAAGTCAATAACAAAAGGAAAACTGGAAAACTGACAAAATTGTGGAAATTAAACAACACATTTTTAAAGAAGACTCAAATTACTAAATCAGAAATGAAAGTGGGGACATTACTACCTATTCTACAGAAATCAAAAGGATTATAAGAGAGTACCATGAACAACTGTATGCCAAAAAGTTGGATGATCTAGATGAAATGGACAGATCCCTTGAAACACAAAACCTACCAAGACTAAATCACAAAGAAATAGATAATCTGAATAGACCAAATCTCAAAGTAAGGAGATTTAATCAGTAGTCAAAAATCACCCAACCAAAAAAACAAAACAAAACCAAAACCAATGGACCTGATGGGTTTACTGATGAATTCTACCAAACATTTAAAGAACTAATGCCAATCTTTCTCAAACTTTTCCAAAAAGGTGGAGAGGAGAGAACACTTCCCTACTTATTCTATGAAACCAGCATAATCTTGATACCAAAGACAGATAAAGACACTACAAGAAAACTACAGACCAATATCCCTTATGAACGCTGATGCAAAAATCCTCAACACAAGACTCGCAATCTGAATTCAGCAGCATATTAAAAGGATTATATACCATAACCAAATGGGATTTATTCCTGGAATGCAAGAATGGTTCAACATACAAAATTCAATGTATACGTCACAGTTTCCTTCAACAGAATGAAGAAAAAAAACCCCACATGATCATCTTAATTGATGCAGAAAAAGTATGTGACAAAATTAAACACCACCGCATGATAAAAAAAAAAACACTCAACAAACTAGGAATAGAAGGAAACTACCTCCACATAATAAAAGCCTTATGTGAAAAACCCAAAACAAACATCATACTCAATGGTGCAAGACTGAGAGCATTCCTCTAAGATCAGGAACAAGGCAAAGATACCTGCTTTCACCACTTCTATTCAACACAGTTCTGTAAGTTCTAGCCAGAGTGTTTGGGCAAGAAAAAGAAATAAAACGCATCCAAGTTGGAAAGGAAGAAATAAAATGATCTCTGTTTGCAGGTATGATCTTATATAGAAAACCCTAAAGATTCCGCCATAAAACTTAAGGGTAAATGAATTGAGCAAAGTAGCAGGATACAAAGTCAACACACAAAAATCATTTGCATTTCTATACACAAACAATGAGCAATCTGAAAACGGAATTATAAAATGTTTCCATTTCCAATAGCATCAAAAAGAATAGGACTTCCCTGGAGGTACAGCATTTAAGACTCTGCTTCCACTGCAGGGGACGGGAGTTCAATCCCTGGTCAGGGAGCTAGGATGCCACATGCCACAGCCAAAAGAAAAAAAAAAAAAAAAAAGAATAAAGTACTTAGGAATTAACTTAACCAATGAGGTAAAAAACCTGTACAATGAAAACTACAAAACACCACTGAAAGAAACTAAAGACATAAGTAAATGGAAACACATTCCATTTTTATGAATTGGAAGTCTTACTATAGTTAAAATCTCATTACTATCCCCAAAATCTACAGATTCAGTGCAATCCCTATCAAAATCCCCATGACATTTTGTTTTTACAGAAAATTCTAAAATCATATGGAATCTCAAGGGACCCTGAATAGCCAAAACAATCTTGAAAAAAACTAAAAAAACTAGAGGACTCACTCTTTCTGATTTCAAAACTTACTACAAAGCTACTACAGTAATCAAAATAGCCAATGAATACAGACATATAGACCAATGGCTAAGAAAAGAAAGCCCAGAAATAAACCCTCATATACATGGTCAAATGATATTTGATAAGGGTGCCAAGACCATTCAATAAGGAAAGAACAGTCTTTTCAACAAATGGTGCTGGGAAAACTGGATATCCACATGCAAAAAAATGAAGTTGGACCCTTACGTAACAACCTACACAAAAATTAACTCAAAATGGACCAAGGACCTAAATATGTAAGGCCTAAAACAATATAACTCTTAGAAGAAAACACAGGACAAGAGCTTCACAACACTGGATTTGGCAATAATTTCTTGGCTAGGATACCACAGGCACAGGTAGCAAAAAAAAAAAAAAAGGCAAATTGGACTTCATGAAAATTTAAACAATTTTGTGCATCAAAGGACACCATCAACAGAGTAAAAAGGCAACCCACAGAATGGGAGAAAATATTTACAAATCATATGTATGACATGGGATTAATATTCAGAATATATAGAGAATTCCTAAAATTCAACAACCAAAAAAACAAGCAACTCAATTCAAAAATGGGCAAAGGACTTGAATAGACATTTCTCCAAAGAAGATATACAAATGGCCAATAAGCACATGAAAAGATGCTCAACATCACTAATCATTAGGGAAATGCAAATCAAAAATACAATGAGGGGCCTCCCTGGTGGCGCAGTGGTTGAGAGTCCGCCTGCCGATGCAGGGGACGCGGGTTCGTGCCCCGGTCTGGGAGGATCCCACATGCCGCGGAGCGGCTGGGCCCGTGAGCCATGGCCGCTGAGCTTGCGCGTCTGGCAACGGGAAAGGCCACGACAGTGAGAGGCCCACATATCGCAAAAAAAAAAAAAAAAAAAAAAAAAAAAAAATACAATGAGATACCATCTCACACCCATTAGGATGACTACTATCAAAAATACAGAAAACAGGGCTTCCCTGGTGGCACAGTGGTTTAGAGTCCACCTGCCCATGCAGGGGACATGGGTTTGTGCCCCAGTCTGGGAAGATCCCACATGCTGTGGAGTGGCTGGGCCCGTGAGCCATGGCCGCTGAGCCTGTGCCTCCAGAGCCTGTGCTCTGCAACAGGAGAGGCCACAACAGTGAGAGGCCCGTGTACCGAAAAAAAAAAAAAAAAAACAGAAAACAAGTGCTGAAGAGGATGTGGAAAATTGGAAGCCTGTGTACTGTTACTGGGAATAGTATAGCTGCTATGGAAAACAGTATGGCAGTTCCTCAAAATATCAGAAATAGAATTATCATGTCATCCAGCAATTTCACTTCTAGGTAGATACCCAAACAAATTGAAAGCAAGGTCTATATATATTCGTACACAATGTTCATAGCAGTATTATTTGCAAAAGCTAAAAAATAGAAGCAACCCAAATGTCCATTGATGGATGAATGGATACGCAAAATGTGATATATAAATACAATGGAATATTATTCAGCACTAAAAAGGGAGGAAATTCTGACACAAGTTACAACATGGACGAATCTTGAGGACATTATGTTAAGTGAAATAAACCAGTCACAAGAAGAAAAATACTGTAAGATTCCACTTCTGTGAGGTACTTAGTCAAAATCATAAAAACAGAAAGTAGAATGGTGATTGACAGGGGCTAGTGGGAGGGGAGAGTGGAGAATTATTGATTAATGGCTATAGAATTTCAACTTTACAAGATGAAAAGAGAGTTATGGGAAAGAAAAAAAAAGAAAAGAGAGCTATGGGGATGGATGGTGGTGCTGATGGTTGCACAACAATGTGAATGTAGTTAATGCCACTGAACTATGTACTTAAAAATGGTTAAGATGGTACAGGGCTTCCCTGGTGGTGCAGTGATTAAGAATCTGCCTGCCAATGCAAGGGAAAACGGGTTCAAGCCCTGGCCCGGGAAGATCCCACATGCCGCAGAGCAACTAAGCCCGTGCGCCACAACTACTGAGCCTGCGCTCTAGAGCCCACGAGCCACAACTACTGAGCCCACATGCCACAACTTCTGAAGCCCATGAGCCTAGAGCCCATGCTCTGCAACAAGAGAAGCCACCGCAACGAGAAGCCCATGCACCACAAGGAAGAGTAGCCCCCAGTCGCTGCAACAAGAGAAAGACCATGTGCAGCAATGAAGACCCAACGCAGCCAAAAATAAATAAATAATAAATTAAAATTGAAAAAAGACGACTGTTTCTTTAAGAAAAAAAGGTTAAGATGGTAAATGTTATGTGTATTTTATCACAATTTTTAAAAATAATTAAAAAAAAAAAGAAGATACTGTATGGCTCTAGCCATGGAGAGTGACAGATGAAGGAAATGAATGTCCCTATTTTCTGTGATTTAGGAACTTCAGGCATATTTGAATAACTGATTCAGTATTTTTGAATAATAAAACTTTAAAATCTTCATTACAATTAAGACGAATGTGATTGAGAGGAAAATCATATACACAGGTTCCACTGTGATGTATTTGTTGGGTAAAATCAGTATATGGCTTTGTCTCATTTATCATAAAGCTTTTTTGGGATAGAGAGGGCAAAAGTGCTGAAACCCCAAGCAGGACTAAGGCATATTTTCCTTTTTTACAGCTTCCTCTTTCTTCCATAGGGTTAATTAGCTCCACATGTAAATAGGTCTGAAACAAGCATCAGAATAGGTAAAGCCTGAAATTGACCATAAGGCTCAGCATCATTTGGACAGAGACCACAAGGAGTGTTGATGGAAAAAACCATTATATTCTGTCACAGTGAATAAAGCAGTATTAAACACCCTTCACTCTCAATGCTCTTGGAGTTACTGTGGATTGGCAAAACATGGCCCATGTACCACCACACTCCTCTGTAGCATCCACAGTGGATATCATTATTCCCTTTCCCACTGAGCTTGGCTGTGGCATCAGGATACTGATCAGAGTTCATTAGCACATTGGATGAAACCTCTCTGTCATCCATGGCAACTGATGTGCTGTAAGCAAGGTCCCTGCAACTCCTGTCCTGCCTCTCCATCTCTGGAACAATACAAATGATTCAGTTTGCATTATGCCACGTAACAGCTATTCAACTGCTGCCACATCCTGACTACGAGCAGACAAGAGGCCACTTTAGCCAATTTCAGATCAGCAAGAAAGAGCACTATAATTCCAACTTACAGTTTCAAGGCTCTTCCGGAACGCCAGAAGTTTAGCTTCAGCTTCCTCATAATTCTTGAAGAACATACACAGTTCATACATCTCCATCATGAAGAGTAGTGGGGACTCCTTTGAGGAAGAGTTTGAATGAAGTTAAAAATCCTGAAACTTAATCAATACTACATTCTCAATGAGTAATACCAATATAAGAGAGGTTAAAGTAAAAAACGAAACTATTAATAACAGCTTTGTAGTAGAATGAAATCATATATATTAAAAAGAAAGGAAATTAAATTTATATTTCCTTTTGGAAAAATGATACTCAGGCCAGGTACACCTACTCAACAGTCCATACTCCAGTCTATACTTGGTCCACTACACGTGAGCAGCAGATGTTCCATTAGATGCTGCTAAGACACCTCTACATACACTCCTGGGTAATGGGCTCCACTGATCTGTTAACCTACTGCTTGTTTGTGGCATTAATCCATACATTTCCATCACTTTGGTTGGAGCTTTTTGGTCAGAGGATAGGAGTTTTAGAATTAGACATTATGGATCTGAACCATAAGTAAACCACTTACTAAAGTACTATGAGACCCTGGGCATGTTACTTAAGTTCTGTGAGCCTTGGTATATCACTCTGTAAAATGAGGATAATATCACTTCATAACATTCTTCTAAAATATTACTTTATATAGGATTATTGTTAGAATCGACTAAAATAATATATATAAAGCACTTTGTTAAATAAATGATAGTTCTAATATCGTTATCTGTTGTCGGCTTAAAAAAAAAATCCCAGAGATAGGAATAATTTTAAAAGCCAACGGGGGATATTCTGAAGTAACCCTTTTAAACTGAGGAAAGAAATGAATTAACACTACCTTAAAGAAAAGCTGGAAACCTCTGATGAGAGTTTTGCTCTTCTGCCGTGTTAATAATGTCCTCCAGATGACTGAGAGGTCCTCAAGGTCCCAGGTATGGCCCTCCATTGAGTCCTGAATGTGTCCCATTGCTTCAGCTGCAACACTGTGCTCCACAGAAGTGATGATCCAAACACAGAGGCAAGGAATAGCACTGGCGTCCTGCCAGTGGATAAGAACTTTTCAAAATAAGATAATGACTGCACATGGATTACTTGACTGCAGAAGCTTCCAGCAGTGCTACAACTACAGATGGATATTTCCTGTTTAGAACAAGTCACCTCACTAAATTGGTTAAAATGACTTGAAAATCCTTCAAACATGAAACAAACTCTAATGAACAACCAAGGGACTGTTATAAACTGTCCTGCAGAGTACAGTAGGTCAAAAGGCCAAGAAACCGAGGGGATATATGTGGAGGTCAGCGAAGTAGTAAGTATAAGAAAACAAGACTGTCCTCTACAGAACTGCTGATCAAGGGACTGTTTGGAGCATCCCTCTTCCCTGCTCGAGACACAGAGGTGGTCGGTCCACCAAAGCATCCTTCTCTATGACTGCCAACCGGAAGCCAAGGCTCTGATCACTTAAGTTACTGAACATTAAGCCACAAGGAAATGCACTAAATGGCCTGAAGCCTAAGCCGGGGAAGCACAAAAAGTGGCAGTGACCTTGGAAACACATGCTAGGGCCTCACTGTCTTCACCTCACATTCTCCCTGATTATCAGCCTTCCCTGTCTCTTCCCACTTTTTCTACTGCGCTCTGAGTCCCTAATGTAGGCTTCTCAAGATTCTCACCTGGACACATGAGGCCAGGACACTAAGGATTGGGGCCTGTTGTTTCACTGCTTCTGCCAGGAGCCAGCACCAGGAGTTTGGCACCTCTGAGCACTGAAGCAGAATTTCAAAGAAATCAGTCATCTCTACTTTGTTTCTTTGGAGCTCCTGCGGGGACTTGTTGCAGACTTGATCACTGTCCATTCTAGACTTGGACGCTGAGGGCAAGTTCTCAAAAGCCAGTCTTAAGTGGTCTTGAAGAACAGGGTTGAAATACTGGAGAAGAGATTTCACCTAGAAAACATATTAGATGACTGATGATCAAAAAAGACAACCAACTTCCAATTTCAGCTGGAGCTGAAAATGTTGGAGAAAAGCATAGGCAAAATTGTTCTTTCTCATCCTGAACTGCGTGAGAGGTGACCATATAATTTTACATAGTTGTTGTGTTTGAATGAGTTTCCATATTCAATCTGGAGTCACAAAAACTCTTCCTTCAGCTCTTTAGTAGTAATGACTAGTCCTCTGAAGCCAACCCACTGAAATCTTAGTAAAAATAATAGTATCATAGCAAACAAAAGCCTATGTATACACAACAGAAAGAACACTGTCTTCTGAGAAGTGTTCCAATTTCTCTTCTTGAATAACTGGCAACAATCGGTGGCTTACCTCCTCTGGGTGGTAATTATGGAGTTGGCTGTGAATAATAAACTGTAACCAATCATTTGCTTTGGCACATTCTCTAAGGTAAGATGTGCTCAGTTTCAGATTGTGGAGCCTGCAGAATTGTACCACTAATGCCCACTGGCTGCTGGATTCACTGGATAACCTATAATTGGGAGTGGGGGTGGGGGGTAAGAGGAAAAAACTTGTTAAAATGTAGCTTTAAACTGGAAACTTAGTAAAAAATAAACTACAGTATATTCTCTAAAAAGCCTTTCAACAAATACCAAATACTTATTAGACTGCTTTGGGAAAAAAAGGACTCTTTCACCCATAATGTACAATAACTTTCTTAGCATACTGGCAAAATTCATTCCTCTTTTTTTACCAACAAAGTATCTATCAAACCAGCTATGCACCATCTTTAGGAGAATTGAGAAAAATAGTCACTCAAGAAATTGTCTGAGTGCTTAATTCTCTTGCATGATTCACTTTAGAGTATCAGAGCCCTGACAGTTGCCTGGGCTTCCTTGCTAAGGGGAGGGTACCTGCTGAGAAGGAAACTGCTGAGAACAGCCAGTGACAGGAGGTACATGAAAATGGTGCATTCCCAGGGTCGGGGTAGCGGGTCAGCCCCAGTGGAGAATAGCACAGAGGAAAGATGACATAAATGTATAAGGAGAGGGGATTTTGTGGACAGACGGTCACCTCACCTTCCATTATCAACTGACATATATTAGCATGAAAAAAATCAAGGACATCACTTAGAGTCAAATTTTGTGAGATCTATCCCGCTCCTTCTGAAATGATTTCAACATGTAACACTTAAGAGACTTCTCAGACCAGCAGCACAGTAGAGGAGGCATAGAGTTTCTCTACCTCTTGGAAACTCTATCTGTAAAGAGGGAATCATTATCTTCACCCTTCTTTTACTGATGGCAAGATGCAATTGAAATCTGTTATGCGCTCAATGAGTAAGATAAGGTCTGGTGAAAACATGCGTTGGAAGAAAGACTAGGCAAACACAGACTGGCACAATAAAGCTTGCTAGAAAAGAGGCTGGGATCGCAACTCACAAACCTCTTTATTTCCTGCTGCTGAATGCTGTCCCGTATACCTTCTTCTAAGAGAACGAGCAATTCTTCTATGGTTGACTTTTCACCCATAGCCAGTTTAGATAGTTTTTCAGCTATAAGAAATATAAACAACAAAATATGGTCAAGAGAAAAGGTCGGGAACTGGGCAGTTCTGTTTGAAGAGTGTGGCCCAGAGACATTTCAGAAACCCATTAAATGGCCCAATAAAGTGAGATAAAGTGCAAAAATTCTGTAGAAAAAGGATGAAACAGAAGATAACTGTTTCCTCCCCAACCACTCACAATTCAATGCCTTAGACCTATTTGTCCCTTGTCCTCTAAACAAATGACATAAAGGTGCTGTACCTAGAGACTCTCTGATAAAGTTGTACTGAGCATCTTCATTTCTACACATGTAGCTCAAAATTATATTGGCCACTTTCATATCAACTCTGAGCTTGAGGCTGTCGAGGCCAAGCAGTTCTAAGAAACAAACACAGGCAGCTCCTATTGAAGGTATGTGGAAGGAGGAGAGCCCTAAAACATAGGCTTCATTGCCTACTTGCTGGATCCTGAAAAAGAAAGGAATCAAAATCACATGAGCACGTGAAAATTTTTTCTCACCAGGAAAAGCAGACTGAATTACGTCAGTGATACTTGGAGCATCAGATGCATGCGATTTTTGACCTCCTCCCCCTTCCCTTTTTCACCCCTTGTATACATCCATTTAGGTTCTTGGTAGCTTTTAGTCGCCTTCTGGCTCCATAGCCCCCATTCCCTTATATTTTACCTTCTCCTAAAATGCCTACTCATAGTCCAAATTATTTTTGCTTCCAACTTTATTCAGGGAGCGTGGAATAGAACTTATGAAAGACTACCAACTTATGATCTTATTAATTGTATGTACACAAACTACCAAGAAAATTAATGCCACCTAAAATTTGACATCATAAAGCACATACATTTTAAATGACTCATATATGTACTTTTACATGAATAGAAAAATTTCGAGGAAAGATGCACAAGAAATTAAACATGTTTATATACCATGTAGAATGAAGATGAGAGAATGAGGGACTTTCTTCTTTCATTTTTCACCCCTCTGAACTACTTAAATATTTTGTTAACTATAAAACAATAAATAAAATAAATCTGTATTTAGCTGCTGATTATATCAAATACTCCTCCCAATTCTGTGCTTTATGAAAGTGAATTATAAAAGACCAAGATCTTAAATACAGAACTCACATCTCACTATAGAATTCCCTCTTTATAATAACTGCTAACATTTGGCAAGCTCCTGGGTCATTATTTAAAAACATGTTTTCAGATATATTTATTATCTTATTTAAAATATATTTTAATCTTTTTTCCCATTAACAAAAGTAAGGGAATTCCCTGGTGGTCCAGTGGTTAGGACTCCATGCTTCCACTGCAGGGGGCATGGGTTCAGTCCCTGGTGGGGGAACTAAGATCCTGCAAGCTGCATGGCATGGGCCAAAATACAAACATACAAACAAACAATCAAAATACACAAAAGACAAGCTAAATGCCAAAAACCTGGGATATACAGAAAAGCACAAATGAAAAAATACATATATATATAATTCTCTAGTCAAATATAATTACTAACTGTGGTATGTTTCCAATAGGTTTTTTATATGCATGTGTAAAAGTACACAGATATGCCTTTTATTAAGAGTACAAATTATGTTTTAAATACTCACAGCTGCTTGGGGGTCTTGCTCTTGGTTAATTCCTGAACCAGAAAAGTACCAAACGCAAACGATGGTCGTCCATGATGTAAATAATAAGCAAAATTCAGACGTTCTACTATAGCATATTTATTAACCAGGTCAGGGCTAGAGAAATGTGGGAGCTGACTTGCTGCATCTGGGGGGAAAGTGAAGCAGTATTAATCCTCTGCACCTCACCATGATTAATTTCAGATCTGCATGTGGAAAACTTTACTCTGCAATGGTAAAAGAAAACTGGTTGCTGTAATCATTTTGTACCACTGTGTATCACTTTGAACCACCAAGATGTAATAATTTTATTTTAATGTGTGGAGGTAGCCCTCATTTTATACAAAAATGTGTACCTGAGAAGCTGCATAAAAACTTATAAACAGGGGCTTCCCTGGTGGCACAGTGGTTGAGAGTCCGCCTGCCGATGCAGGGGACACGGGTTCGTGCCCCGGTCCGGGAAGGTCCCACATGCCACAGAGCGGCTGGGCCCATGAGCCATGGCTGCTGAGCCTGCGCCTCCGGAGCCTGTGCTCCGCAACGGGAGAGGCCCCAACAGTGAGAGGCCCGCGTACCGCAAAAAAAAAAAAACAAAACAAAAAACTTATAAACTATGCTTTTCCCCTACTGAACTTACTTGTTATTTTAGATGCTTTAATTTTGTATCTGATGATCCATTAAGTTCACAGTGGCAATAACCCTTTAACTACAAAATCTCTGCTAATGATTTGCAAGTGTAGCTTTTTAATTCATTCATGCAGCTCATATTTATATGAATCCTTTATTCACCAAGGCCAACTCACCGTACCTTTCTCCAACAATTACTTTGAGAAGAACATCCTTTTCTCCATATTAATACCCTCCTAATAAACTTTTGTTATCACTACCTGTACTTTCTGATGTTGGATTCATAGAGCACCTTATTATCTACAACATGATACCAATTTTCCAAGACCAGCAGTGTAGGTCAAAGTTTCTCTGTGCCCACGAAAAAAATTTTTTTTATCTTTTTAGAAAAATACAAAGTCAAAAGATATTTGGATGTGAAAAGTTGGTATGAAATGAAGTTAGGGCTTGATAGGAACAGTTAACTGCTTCTTAAGTGCTTACTACCTATTTAAAAAAATGAGACAAAACAACATTTTGAACTGTTAACAGTGCATCTGCTCCTATTTTCAAAGTTCAAAGCTTATTTCTGAAATAAAGTTGTATCCCTCCCATGGAACTGCAAGGGCTTTTTATATTGTGACTTAGCTCTTATTAAAAAAAACAGGACTTGAAGACTTTAGAGGAGTCTGTCATCTTACAAAGCTATTACTTAAAAGTATACCTCCTTTGAGATTAAAAAGCTGTCACACGCCTTATCTGTATTCTTTGTAAGATCAGAGTGACTCTGGTAACTTACAATTACACACAAAACCATTCATTCATTCAATATTTGCTGAGTTCATATAAAGCTGAATGAACAAACTTGAGTTTTTATTCAAATAAGACCCTGATTTTTTAGTGGTTTGGTGGCTAGTATGGAGATTTTGTATAAGAGAAAATTCTACCTGAAGAGAAAATTTTTCTCTGGCCTCTGCTGCAGAAGCCAAATCACCACGCAGCTGCCTTGTGGCCACTTTCAGTGGTAAAACCATATGATAAAAGAAGTCAACATTCAAATTAAATACAACTCTCCAATTTTAAAAATCCATATTATGTCTTCATGATAATTGTTTCATTTAATTTGTGCTTTATTTCCTCAAATATGTTTTAAACTTCTAAAAATCAGGCAGGGAACATGGCTTTAGCTTCCTCTGTGTACCCAGTAGAGTGTTCCATCTCTACCAGGGCCTCAGGACTCTGGCTGATGGAGTTGGAGCCATTAGAACAGTACAGGGGATTCTGTCTACTCTCCGGTAACCTCACTGAGATTAGAATGAGTATTTTCACTTGAAAATGCAATAAGCACTACTTTATCCTGCACTGAACAAATATCGATTGAATATCTATTATAGGCCTGGCACTGCACTAGGTAAATTCAATATATTGAAATTTATAAATTTCACTTATAAAACTGACACATTAGAAAATGCACTTTTACATAAATCAATAAATATTGACAGGGTATATATTACAAGGTATATATTATGTGAAAAGTACTAATTTGAAGCCTCTTTTAGAGTAATACAGGCAGAGGCACCACAGGTAATATGATATTAAAGGCTAATTCAAAATGAATAAGTAAAAAAGAAATAGAAAGAGCAGAGTTTAAGAACAGCACAAAAAAAAAAATCAGGGGAAGTTTTATGGTCTATAGAGGATGGCAGTGTGTGCGCATCTGGTGCTTACCATGTGTCAGGAACTGCAACAGCTTTTTAAATGCCTTGTCTCCTTTCATTCTCATGTAACATGTGAGGTGGACACTGTCACTTACCTTATTTTATAGAAAACTGAAGAGAAGTTAAATCAGTTGCCCAAGGTCATACAGCTATTACATGGTAGAGACAGGATTTGTCTAATGCCAACACCTATGCTCTTAACCTTTATAATACTATAGTGTAAGTGAACAAGGATTTTTGGAAAGGGAGAAATTTAAGCAGAAGGTCTATATTACATTCCCCAGCAAGTAAAGCACTAGTGACCTCATACAATGACTTTTAACTCACAGTATGTTTTCAATTCAGCTTCCTAGAAAATGTTTTCCATCAAAACTACCATGAGGTATCACCTTACTATGGTCAGAATGGCCATCATAAAAAGTCTAAAAATAATAAATGCTGGAGAGGGTGTGGAGAAAAAGGAACCCTTCTACACTGTTGGGGAGAATGTAAATTAGTACAGCCACTATGGAAAACAGTACGGAGGTTCCTTAAAAAACTAAAAATAGAGCTACCATAGGATCCAGCAATCCCACTCCTAGGCATATATCCAGAGAAAGCCATAATTTGAAAAGAAACATGCACCCCAATGGTCATTGCAGCACTATTTACAATAGCCAGGACATGGAAGCAACCTAAATGTCCATCAACAGAGGAATGGATAAAGAAGATGAGGTACATATATATAATGGAATATTACTCAGCCATAAAAAAGAATGAAATAATGCCATTTGCAGCAACATGGATGGACCCAGAGATTGTCATACTGAGTGAAACAAGTCGGACAAAGACAAATATCATATGATATTGCTTATATGCAGAATCTTAAAAATGGTATAAATGAACTTATCTACAAGACAGAAATAGAGTTACAGATGTAGATTTTTTCTGTATAATCAGATTTTTTCTGTATAATCAGATTTTTTCTGATTTTTTCTGTATAATTTTCTGTATAATCAGAAAAGATACAAGCACCCCAAAGTTCACTGCATCACTATTTACAATAGCCAAGACATGGAAGCAACCCAGATGTCCATCAGCAGATAAATGAATAAAGAAAATGTGACATATATATATATATATAGAGAGAGAGAGAGAGAGAGAGAGCCATAAAAAAAGAATGAAATAATGCCATCTGCAGCAACAGGGATGGACCTAGAGATTATCATACTAAGTGAAATAAGTCAAAGACAAATATCATATGATATAGCTTATATGTGGAATCTAAATAAATGATACAAATGAACTTATTTACAAAACAGAAAGAGACTCACAGACACAGAAAACAAACTTATGGTTATCAAAGGGGAAAGGGTGGGGAGGGATGTTAGGAGGTTGGGATTAACATATACACACTATTATATATAAAACGGATAACCAACAATGACCTACTGTATAGCACAGTGCACTATATTCAATATTTTGTAATAATCTATAAGGGAAAAGAATCAGAGAAAGAATATATATACTACTGAATCACTGTGCTGTACACCTGAAACTAACATAATACTGTAAATCAACGATATTTCAATTAAAAAAAAAGAAAAAAGAAAATGTTTTCCAGTGGAATGTGCCTTTATTTTTAAAATAAAAAGCAGGGGGGAAACTAGGTTGGCTTTACAAAAATGAACTTCTGTCAACACTGCTGAAATGCTTCTAAAGCAAGAAGAATCCATCATGACTTACCTCCTATAGTCAGTGTGTTGGCAGACTGCCAGCCAAACAATCTGCTAGGATCAAAGGGCAATAATGACTGAAAAAGGGGAAAAGTCAAATCAGAGTTAAAAGTTAATTGATTCTAAAGTGAAGTAAACAAAATCATATGAAAGAGCTTCACAGGCAGTTGGTTTCCCTTCTTCAGGGCAATTAAAAACTTTTATCTTTCTAGACATAAATTCTTTGAACACAGCATATGAGACATTTTTCTACATTAATAAAAATAGAACTGGCTATCTTCCTTTTAAAGACTCTCCGCACTTCAAACTATGTCTGCAAAGTATACTCTCTTTTGGTAGAACCAGCATCAATTATAATGTAAAAATGGCTTTAGAAGTCCTTTGGAATCAAAAGGCAAGAGGACTGAGAGGCTGGAATATGTTACCACGTCAATACAACAAGGTGTGCTGAGGCAGGTCAGGAGAGAGTGAGACAACTAATCAAGGGTTAAAGGAATGTGATGAACAAACCATCAATAACAACAGCAAAGAAAAAACAGCCAACTAAGATCAGGTCAGTCAGAAAAGGTTTGAGAGCAAGGAGCGCTGGCTGTTTTGAAATCTGTAGGCCATAGGTTTAGCAAAGACAGTAAATAGACGGTGGGAGGGATATAGGAGACAACAGAACTCTTGGGCCAAGATCTGGATGGCTCAGAAAAGAGCAGCTTTAATTTTATTTATGTATGCATGTATGTACGTATGTATTTACTTATTAATTCTTAGTTCCCAGACCAGAGATTGAACCTGGGCCATGGCAGTGAAAGTGCCAAGTCCTAACCACTGGACTGCCATGGAATTCCAAAGCAGCTTTAATTTTAAATTAAGGAAGAATCCTGTGGTCTGTTAAGGAAGGAATACTCTTCCTAAAATAACAGGACTAAATAATTGCATCAGTCAACCTGAAAACAGAACAAAGAACAACCTGAAACCTCTTATGTTTTAGGCTGATTGAATCCAGGTAGTAAAACCTTGTTTTTATATAATCTACTTATATCTAGTTTATATACCAATGTTACTCAAAGTGCTGATCTGCAATGAGATAAGAAGCTTGTGATAAATATAAATCTAGCTTACTGCTTCCTTCTTTGAGAAAGTCTTGCTACATAAAATCAAAACAAAACAAACGAACCAAAAAAAAAAAAAACCCAACCCTGCTGACACATACCAGCAACAAGCAGTTCATGGAACTGGCACCTGCCTGGGGACCACATTTTTAAGTAGCACCAGTCTGTACCCTAAAAAATTTCACATTAGAGTTAAGAGAGGTTTTGTACCTTCATAGGATTATAGAGTTTAGATTGAACTGAAGACACTATAGGAATATTTCTACCCAGGAAAAAAAGCAAAAGCCTTTTGAAATGAAAAATGAGCAAAAGAAGGTGTCCTTAATTGAGGATCCCTGGATAGGTTTCAGGGAATCTGTAAATTCCTCTGAAATATAAGCAAAATTATGTGCAACTTTTCTGGGTAGAGGGTTCATAGCTCTCTCACATTTTTTTAAAAAATTTATTGTTTTTGGCTGAGGCACGCGGGCTCTCTAGTTGTGGCACGTGGGCTTCTCTCTACTTGAGGCGCACGGGCTCTGTAGTTGCGTCACGCAGGCTTAGCTGACCGTGCGGCATGTGGGATCTTAGTTCCCTGACCAGGGATCAAACCCGCATCTCCTGCATTGGAAGGCGGATTCTTAACCACTGGACCACCACCAGGGAAGTCTCTCACATTCTTAAAGAGGTCTTTGTCCTAAAGGTGACTTAAATCAATAAACAGCCCTATTCACTGAGAAGAGACAGAAATTATCAGTGATAGAATGAAGCAGCTTTCAATGAAAGTAGCAGACAAGTATGCTGGCCAACTATCTGTCTGCTCTCAGATCCATTTCTACCTTTCCCATGTTCTAATCTGAATTGCAGAGAACTGCATTTCCCAAACTCACTTGCCCTCTGGCTATCAGATAGGCTTAGCCATGAGAGACAACATGGGAGATTAAAGGTGGCAAGAGGGGAGAAACCAAGATATTTTCCCCTTCTTTGTTTTCTAGGGCATCTCTTGCATGGTTCCAGCCCTACCCTCTCGTCCCAGCTCCCAGTAGGTAGCCCGGTTGTGATTTTAGCTCCCAGAGAGGCTACAGCTGTTGGGTTCAGACAACACCACTTTCTTGCAGCCTTAGGGGGTGTTGACTGCTTCCTTCTTTGTTAATTTTTGGGTTGTCTCATCATCACACGTTTGGTTTCTCCATTTTGCTATCATTCTGTGTAAGTAATTCCCTATATTAAATGGCCTCCACTTGGAAGACCCAGAGTGGTTCCTGTTTTCCTGGCTGAACGCTGACTGATACTCCTAAATACTGTACCTGAATCAGGTGGTAGAGTGTAATATCTGGTGGCAGGACACTAGGGGCAGTGTACTGTGGGAAGAGAGCAGTTTTAAGCTTGGGGTAAGGAGTTAATGCCATCTTCAGTAGCTGGGGATCTACTTTCTTCACACAGTTCTCATTTTCTTCATTCTGAACAACCTAAATAAAAAGATAACATGGTATAGAATAATGTTTTTCTCTTCTCCAAATTTAAGTCCTTTTTTCATAAGTAGCCTGTGAAACAAGATTAGCTTGATATAATAGGTGGTAGTGAAAACAGCACTGGACAAGGAGTCAGTAGCCAATAGTTCTAGTTCTGGTTCTAAGACAAACTATCTGTATGACCTTGGTCTAGATATTTAATATCAGGCAGGCTTCAGTTTCTTCATCTACAGAATTAGAAAGTTCAGCTAGATCAGTGGTTTTCAAACTGCATAAGGAAAAGCTGTTTGAAAAAAGCCTCTACAACAGTATTTTAAAATTTCAGATCTTAAATAGTAAATATTTTACAAGAAAAAAACCTACTAGACTAGATGACTCTTAGGTCCTTTCCTCTCAGGTCTCAAGTTATTCTGACTGATTTCTGACAGGTGATCAAAAACAGGAAGAATAAATAACCATGAAGTTAAGGTATACTGCAACAATCTAAAAGAGGTGGTATTAAATTAAGCTAGCATCAGTAACAAACTTTTGCAGATTAGATGTTTAACAGCATTCTTAAGTTCCCTCTAACCAGCCACATTATACTTTCAAAAAAGCAGACATGGGCAACTTTTCACTGGATTCCTCAAAAGAGTTTTTAAGGGTAGCTAAAAATTATGATTTCCTTTTTAACTCTCAAAGAGGTCAAGTAACAGAGAATAATTCCCAAGTCACAGATTTAAAGTATACTTACTCCAAGGAGCAATTAGATCTTGATTCTATCCTGAAAACAAACCTGGAGTATTAGAGAACAAATAAATGGGAAAAAAATAGCTATACAACATTCAGTCGCCCCTTGGTATCCACAGGGGATTGGTTCCAAGACCCCCACAGACGCCAAAATCCGAGGATGTTCAATTCCCTCTTATAAAATACTGTAGTACAGTCAGCACTCCATATCTGTGGATGCAGAACCCCCGAATATGGAGGGCTGACTATAGCAGTCTCCTTTCAACTTAACAGGATATGATATAAAGTTTAAAAATTCACCCTTGTTTTATGCTCTTTAATCTAATGAAATACTTGTAAGTGGTTATATTTTAGTATCAACTGAGACCTAGAAAATCCGCTGAGATTTCTGTTAAATTTAAAATCAGTCCTATTTTGCCATAACAGGTAAAAGTGCTGTCCATACCTGGCTGACGCCCCCAGGGGCATACATTGTGGTAGCAAGGGCCAGGAGGGTATGTCCTTCCAATAGCATACTGCTTACACTGGCCTGGTTGCTGGGAATCAGTATCTGAGCATTTGCAAGGCTAGCCTGGAAGATCAGTTTGGGATCTGAAAAATAAGAGAGTACATTTTTCTCCTTGAGAGAGAGAAATACTAAACTAAGGATTATATAATTCTGAGAAAGAAAATTAATTTTTAACTCTATCCACAGTAAGAAGGATTTTCTAAGTTTAAGAGCAATGGGAAAATGTCACAAAGGGAAAAAAAGAAAGATTTGTCCACATAAAAATAAAAACTTCCATTCAAACAAAGAAAACTGAAAGGTAGTAATGAACAAGGGGAAAAATCAACAACAGATGACAACCTAACAATTAATGCCTTCAACAAAGAGCTCATATCAGTACAAAAGCCCAAAATACTGACTGTAACAGATAAATGGACAAAAGAAATAACCATTTTACGAACAAGGAAATATAAATGTCTGACACATAAAAATATATAATTCATTAGCAATAAATAAATGCAAATTAAAATAGTAATAAGATGCCATATATCATCTATCAAATCAGCAATGATTTTTAAAAATATTCATCCTCAAGCACAGAGCTGGTCAGTGTGCATAGAAGCTGGGACTTACAGAAAAGAACGGTGTAACCCTCCTGGAAAGCAATCTAGCCTTATCTCAAGAACCTTCAAAATGCACATAACCCCAGACCCAGGAATTTTATATCCAGGAACCTATTTGTACTAAGGAAATAATCTGAAACAAGGACAAAAATTTTATGTTCAAATATACTCAAGATTATTATTTATAATAGGAAAAATTGAAAACAGCCTTAATGTCAAAAAATGAGAGGACAGTAAATTAAATAAGAGTATTTCTATACAATGAAATATTATGTAGACATAAAATGGTCGTCTATAAGAACATAGGAAAATTCTTATGCTGTAATAACTATATGAAAAAACACAATATACAAATACATAGATGTTTCTGGTTATATCCCTAGCATTTACAGACTGTCACAAGGTAGGGGATAAATAAATATTTGTTGGATGAATGAAATACAATATTGACTAGGTTTAAAAAAAGTATAGAGAAAATAACCAAAACAAAATATATTAAAATATATCAAGAGTTCCCTATGGATAGTTATCTTCCTGTTCACTTAAGCTATCTACCTATTGAGGTATTATCTTGATACTTGTCTGTGGCTTCCTATTTTTTTAATTATTATTTTTTAACAATGAAACATGTTACTTTATGATCACCAGAAAAATAAAACAAAACCAAAAACCCCTCAACCCACATTGTGAAAAAAATTATTCATTAGGAAAAAAAACAGGCATTACATAAAAGTGAAAGATTGGCTGTTGACACTCCTTGCCTATGTTGTGGCTTGGCCTGTCCCCTTTCCTGAACCTCTAGAATAACACCCACTAAGCCCTCGGGGGTCACAGGGTTTTTCTACCTGATTATAACCAGAGCAAGGCTCTCCATCATTGGCTCCACTAGAGAAGACACAACAATCCCACATATACTATGGATTTATTTTCACTCCAATTGGAGTTCCTTACTGAAAGATTCAGGGCAGCCATTTGGAAGACAGACCACCTCCTCATGGAAAAAGGGTGTCAGTCTACCAAAGAGCAGGAACCTGTGATGAACTGGTAGGATAAGAGATATCCAACATAACCACACATGCTATGTGCTCCGAGTCTGGTTTTCTTCACTGTTAAGAGGCTAATAACATTTTTGGTCTTTTGCTTTTTAAATAAAGCTTGAGTCTAGATTATGGTCAAATATTTGTCTACAGCTAGACAGTTTATTCAAAGAGTTCGCAATTTAAATTCCATTCAACAGACCAGTTATTTATCCAAAGCAAGTTTTGTTATTTAATACAATACACCCATACCTGTTAAATTACTGGAAACTTGTCGACACTGAACTAAAAATTCAAACCAAGGGTGAGCTTCATGTAATTCTTTTTTTTCCAAAAAGGGACAATTTGGAGGACTAAGTCTGTATATAAAACAAACAAACAAAAAAACTATCTGATTAACATAGAGGATAAGACAGACAATTACAACCATGTTTGCTCAGGTGATAACTAGCATAAAATAAAAAAGAACTTTGTAATTAAAAAGTAAATATAACACAATATAATCCCAGTCTTGTGTTGTGTTTTACATATGCCTTATGATCTGGAAATAGAGAATTTTAGAGACAGGGATAATATCACTTAAAATGTATTTCCTACTGTGATGAAATTTTACCAACTCTGTATAAGATTACCAGATATCTTTGCACTTGAAGATACGCTGTATTGGGTTTTTTTGTTGTTGTTGTTTTTTTAACAACAAAAGCTCTTCAGCTTTTTTCAAACTTAAGAGGTTTCTGAAAACCTTTACGTAACTACAAGAGAAGCTGGGACTAAGCAGTTAAGGCTCATTACAGGTCCTCTAAAAATACAGCTTTTAAACTTTCACTTGCCAGTAGCTTTGAAGAAAACATTTCTGTGTTCAAGTAAGTCTTAATGATATGAACAAGAAATACATCCTTTGCTTGACTTCCTAGTCTTTACTACACAAAATAAAATAAAAATGTTCTCCTTAGCACATGAATGTGGGTTCTGGCATCAAACATAAGTATAATTAAATCTAGCTTTACCAATTACTAGCTGTACGCCTTAAATAGGGCACTTAGTCTCTCTCAAAGCTTCAGTTTCCTCATCTGTGAAATGGAGGAGTAAGTAACCACCTCACAGGGTTTTCTGAAGATTAAATGAGATAATGCATGTAAAGTACTAAGCCTAGTGTCAAGAACACTGTAAGCACTCATATGTTAGAGACTACTACTATTTTTATTATTACTGACCCAATAGCAATTAACACTGGCCACAGATACGATTCTGCAGGTTGACCTTAGACATCAATATATATTGACATCTGTCTATCTAAATATAAACTTTAGAGCATTTCTAAGATACCCTGCAGTGGCGATGAATTCAAAGTTTTTAACATTTGCTTGGTAACAAAAATATCAAAGAAGTCCAAGTTAACCGTTAAATCCTCCCTCTTTTAAACTTGTAAAGCATTTCTTTCTAATTTCTAGTTATTTAAAAGGTTAACAGAGATGTTACAGAATTAACATCACCAGAAAACACATAATAAGCATTTAGTTGAATGCAGTATTGACCTAAAAGATGTACCAAATGTTAGAGTGGGAGGAACTGCTTCAAAAAGATCAGTATTCCTCACGAGAATGCTTAATATTTTCCTAAAAGTCACATCCAGAAGTAGTACGGAAAGAGGGAACGTGAAGGCCTGCTCAAGGACAAGTTAATTCTTAGTACTCACTTGTAATAGTCAAGAAAGACATAAAGAAGATACTGCAGACTGTGTTCCAAACAATAGAGAATGAAGTGACAATGGAAATCCCAACCATCTTTGGACCTATAGTTTTGAACAGGGAGGGTATCTTGCATAACTCCCCCAATACGATTCAGTCTTTTGAGAAAGAGTTCAAAGTCTTCTAGTTCAGATGTAAGAAAAATTCCATTCCTATTGGGCAGGTTTAAATAAAAGATGGCAAGTTAAAAAGTTGCTATATTCAGAGCAGACCGAATCATTTCCATTGTTAAGTAGTCTCAACTAGTTAAAAGTATTTACAAATTAATACTGCCAATTCTTACCCCATAAATATGTTCAGACACACATATTTTGCTAGTTTCCAATAAAGGTTTCTGCATCACTGTAGTATTTTAATGTAGTAATGACAGTCTCAAGTTATATTAAATATTTCAAAAACCTAAACTAAGCTACCTCCATTACTTTGTTTTTACTGAAACTGTACAACCCAGTGTGGCAACAGTGGTTAACTCTTGAAGCTAGATGCTTTACACACTGAGGAATTCACCAAAATATCCAAACAAAATCATTAAGAAATTAAAGCAGAATAATTTAAATAGACCAACCATTAAAGAATAGAAATTTGCATTTAAATATTTTTTATAAGTTTACTGTTAAATACACCATACACACCATTAAAGGAGTATAGAGAACATATTATGTGGAGTTTAGAGAAACACTGCATAGCCACCACCCAGATTACAGAACACTGTACCTAGAAGTCCTTTGTGTATTCCTCTCCCTTTACATGTGCTTTGCCCTCAGAGGTAACCACTATCCTGACTTTCATGATAACTATTCCCTTACTTTTATTCACCCATATAGTTTTACCACCCATGTGTGTAACCCCAAATAATATAAGGTTTGCTTTTGCCTATTTCAAACTTTATATAAGAAGGGAACATCTTAGATATATTGTTGTCTTGTTTCTTCTACTTAACATTGTGTGATTTATCCATGTTGATACCTATGGCTATAGTTTTTTAGTTTTCATTGTTATGTAGTGTTCCACTGTACGATTATACTACATTTTATTTAACTGCTCTAACTTTGATGGTCATTGTTCCTAGATTTTTGGTAGAATAAATTTCCATTTCCATGATTACAAATGAGGAAGAACATCTCATATGTTTATTGGCCATTTGTGCTTCCTCTTTTGTGAAATGTCTATGTGTGCTGGTATCTTTCCCCTCCAGATCCAAGCTCTACTCTCCTGCTCTGCGTCTCTGGAGGCTCACCTGTATGGGTTGCTCTAGAAGACTCCTGTGCCCTCAGGTTTCTGTTTTGGTTTCTTCTCCTATGGGAGACTCCCATTGGGAGTTAAGAATTAAAGAAGAAGGGAGGATGGGGATACCTTGGTGCTCTCTGTGTGAGGTGACAGCAGGTTGGCTGACATTCTCCACTAAGAGACACAACTCCTGCCAGGCAGCTCCCTCAGTCTCAGTAACTGTTGTCTTCCTTTGCCCTGTCAGGCCTTTTAGAAAGCACACCCTACTCCCAAGGTCATGAAGATATTCTTCCCTACCGTCTAAAAGCATTATAATTTTTACATTTTACATTTAGGTTTTAAAATCTACCTGGAATTGATTTTATGCATGATATAAGGCAGAGGGTCCAATTTCATTTCCCCCATATAGCTATCTAGTTATCCCAACCCCATTTGTTGAAAAGACTATTCTTTCCTCCAAAAAGACTGTTCTGCAGTGCCACCTCTGTCATATATAAGGTGAGCATACATATATAAGTCTGTTTCAGGGCTTCCCTGGTGGTACAGTGGTTAAGAATCCGCCTGCCAATGCAGGGGACACGGGTTCGATCCCTGGTCTGGGAAGATCCCAAATGCCACGGAGCAACTAAGCCCATGCACCACAACTACTGAGCCTGCGCTCTAGAGCCCATGAGCCACAACTACTGAGCCCACATGCCACAACTACTGAAGCTCACACGCCTAGAGCCTGTGCTCCGCAACAAGAAAAGCCACTGCAATGAGAAGCCCGCACACTGCAACGAAGAGTAGCCCCTGCTCACTGCAACTAGAGAAAGCCCGTGTGCAGCAACAAAGACCCAATGCAGCCCAAAATAAATAAATTAAAATAATTTTTTTAAAAAAAGTCTGTTTCTATGCTCACTCTTCTGTCTTAATTGCTGTAGCTTTAGAGTAAGTTTTAATATCTGGTAGGACAAGTTCTTCTTTTTCAGAGTTGTTCTTGACCCTCTGATTTTCCATATAAATATTTATAATCAGCTTGTAAAATCCATTGCGGGGATTTTTATTGAGATTGCACTATATCTAAAGATCAACTTGGGAAGAATTGATAGCAGGCTTGTCTTGTTCCAAATCTAAAGAGAATGCTTGTGATGTTTCACCATTAAGTATAATATTAGTTGGAAGATTTTTTGTTAACACCTCTTTAAAGTTAAGGAAGTTTGCAGCTATTCCTAGTTTGCTAATAGGTTTTATTATAAATAGATGTTGAATTTTATCAAATGCTTTTCTGTATCTATCAGGGTGGTATGATTTTTTTCCCTTTAATCTGTTAATACAGTAGATCTCACTAATTCATTATTGTCATAATTCATGTTAAAACACATATATATTATCTTTATAAACAATCAAGTATTAAGCAAAATATCTGATAAGCATACAAGTTATACAAAAGTCTACTTTTAGCAAACAAGAAGAAAAGGATTTAGTGCAATGAAAAGAACAGTGACTAGAAAGTCAGGGGTAAAATGATTGAAGCCTGTAAGTAACTGGGTTAGGCAAAGCTCTTAACTTCTTTAGATCTCCCTCTCCACATCTTTAAGTTGGGTAGGACAGTACGGTTATACTTCCCCAATAAGTATAAATATAAAAGAATACATGGGAAATAATTTTAAGAAACTTAAAAATTAACAAATAGGTTAAGTCTCATATTATTTTGACAGCTTAGGGAGATAGGATGAGCTCTATGAAATTGCTGATATTCAACAATTTTTCACCTCTACAAACGGCAAGTTCACATGGTTCAAGCTAACAATTATTTTTAGAAATGAATTAAAAGTTTAAAGTCTTGGGCTTCCCTGGTGGCACAGTGGTTGAGAATCTGCCTGCCGATGCAGGGGACACGGGTTCGAGCCCTAGTCTGAGAAGATCCCACAAGCTGCGGAGCAACTGGGCCCGTGAGCCACAACTACTGAGCCTGCGCGTCTGGAGCCTGTGCTCCGCAACAAGAGAGGCCGTGATAGTGAGAGGCCCACGCACCGCGATGAAGAGTGGCCCCCGCTTGCCACAACTGGAGAGGGTACCTCGCACAGAAACGAAGACCCAACACAGCCAAAAATAAATAAATTAATTAATTAATTTAAAAAAAAAGTTTAAAGTCTTCAGTTATCACTTCAAGTGATACTTCCCCTGTTTTCTTAATTGAGGAGTCCTCTTTAGTTCAAGGCCATACATGGCGTACGGGTGCAGTGATAGTACTGAGAAGAGTGGGAAACATTATAGGATACTAAGGTATCCTCATCGCAAGCTCTTGTCACTTGGTCCTTGTATCCCCATGGACAGCTTACCATTTCTACCCCAAAGCATATACAGTGTTTTGGGAAGAACCTTCATGTAGAAGTTGAGAGCCTATTCACTACCTAATGTTAAATGCATGTGATTTTAAAACCTCAATATACAATAATGCCCTTTCAATTTTAAAATATCAATATTATGAAACAATGTCGCATTGGATTTATGGCATTTCAGAGGAAAAGTTGCACCACTGTATTTTATTGCTCTTCCTTTTACACATCCCCATAGTTTACAGTACCTGGCCAGCGTATCTAAAATTTCATTCCTCATGTAGTTGTTGCAGCGAGTATTCTGATCAACAACGTCAACAGTCAGAGGGGGCCATTTGTTCTGCTGAAGTGAGGCATAACTATTCCGGGTCTGAAATTCTCCAATCCACAAGATAATGCTGAACCAATCATGGCGAGCTGTGAGGTATCTCCAGAGGGCTTCGGGAGAATATGATTTGTATTCTACATTAAGAACAAAATACATTTTAAAATAGCAATGAATGATGATTACTGACACAAAGCTCAACACTAGTTGAGTAAATATGACGATCTGGACAAATATCTATATAACAGATGAATTATTCAGGCCCTCTGCTTCTTTTACTATTTTCCTCTTTTGTGGTGGTGTTCATTTTATAATCGATATATTAGCCCTCTTTTCCCTTTTCTTTTCCTTAATATAAATAAAAACTCTGGCTGTAATAATAGACACGAATTTGACACCCTATGAATTACCACTGTTTGCCAGTGTTAGTTATTCCCCAGAGCCCTGGTATGATACAGATCCTCAGTTTAAATAAGAAGAAACCAAAGACTATTTGGAAAAACAAAGAATGTCACTCTGAGGCTGCGAAGAGAACTCTTAGCCTTGAAATCTCAATTCACTGAACCACGTGAGTTTTCTCTTTCACTATCACATTATAAATCCCTTACAAAAACCTCAAGAAAAAGGGCTCAATGTAATGACTTGCATTTTAAAGTAACTGAATATATTTTTTTCCCCAAAAGGAATTCTAAAATGAGGACACACCAAAATATTCAAATACCAATGCCTTATTTAATCCTCATTCACTATGCTCAGGTTTTAGGCTCTTTCACACTTGCCTTCTGGACTTATCCTGGGGAGAAGGATGGATTCTTGTGTTAGTTGATTCCACCACTGAGCCCAAGTTAACACAATTCTGTGATCTTGCTTGTTAAGTTTATCTGTATCTTTATGATCATATTTCAGGAATGAGTCCAAAACAGACTTGTGCTTGAAAAAATCTTGTTCCTTTATCGAATACCTAAAAGAGTGATATGAAAATTTTTTAATTTTGGAGGAAAAAGCATCATTCCTTTTTCTCTGCTCAAGAAGTTCTACTCTTTTGGGGAACACAAAATTCAATACTCTTAATTTTGTATTTATTATCTTAAAAATGTATATCTGACTACGCACATATTGAAATGACAGGGAATTCCTAAGTCCCTTCTAGATGATACAAGTTTTATCTTCATAAGGAATGTAAGCTCAGTTCCACATAAGAAGTCCATGCTAACAGTTATAAGCTAAGCCTTGTCTACAATATTCTTTCCATGTTATAAAAAGGGGGCTAATGAGACTACCTGGGAAAAGACTGGATCTGCATATTTTCTTGGAAATGTCCTGAATAAAACTTCTCAACTTGATGCACGAAGTCTATAGTTCTTTTTTCTTTTTCAGAAAAATAATTTTTTTCTTTTAAAATTTCAACCTTGAATAAAAAGTAATTAAAGCAGTGACCTCACAAAAATCAAGAACATTTGCAAAACAAATGTCATGATATTAAATATCATTTAAGAATTGTGTTTTGAATTTCTGAGGCAATGTATGTATTCGCACAAATTTTCCTTTACCACAAATGCAAAATGATCATTTAAAAAGACAAAAGAGTTGTCATACTTTTACTTACTGGGTATTAGTTATTAAAATAATTCATTTTGAAGTTTCACCAACATTTACTAGAAAATGTAAACTACTTAGTCTCACCTTTACCTACCAAAAAGTCCCGTATGTTTTTATCAGTTGTATAGAAGCATATCTTGAGCAACTGGTCTTTTACATTAAAGCCCTGAAGTAAACATAGAAAATCAAGAAAACTTACATTTTGTAATGGAGCTATTTTGAACATAAATATATGTTAAATACAGAAGTACTCTATTATAGACATATGCCTTGTTAGAATTCCACAACTTTTCAGCTCTTATAAACATTCATTTTCTACATTTATCATGCATATTTACTTCCTATCCCTAAAGTCCTTAAGGCACTTTGTTTGCCAGAAGAAAGGCAGCACACAGAACAATTTAGGGTAATGCCAGGCTACCATAGTACCAAAACTACAGCTATCTGTTATGATGATTCACTTGAAGACAAAAGCCTGTGTAAATAACAACCTTTACATAGTTTCACTCCTCTGAACTTCCAGAAAGTTACCGTGGGCAAGACCTCAACCACGCAGATGAGGCCCAGATCTCAGCTTTGTCCAGGAACCCCACCTCTAGAACATTCCCTTCTCAAATGAAGTAAAACCATGGAACACAAAGTAAAGGTAAAAGCCATTGGAAAGTTCAAATGGAGATATAAGAGGTCACACAGACAATAAAGAATGTCCCCCAACAAATAATGAGGTCCTGTGCATGCTCTGACATGTGTGAAACCTTTTATGAGAAATACTGTCTCCTTCTAACCAAAGTACCAAATCTAACAGAGAACAAATGATGGAAATTCCAATCAAAAATTTCTTCAAGAAAGTTCTTAGTACCAAAGAATGTTTCCCAGTATTACTGTCATAATTTCCTAGTAAAAGTTACACAAATTTCTTAGTTTGTGACACATCTATGAATACAAATCAATTTTTATATCAACCAGAAATTATATTAAATACATAAGAGAACTTCCCTTACATTAGAGACTTTATGACCAAACAGATTATGCCACTTACCATATTCTTCAAAAGCTCAGAGGCTTCCTTTATATTATTCTTTTTCAAATTGTCAAAGACCAAATCTAGGCCTATTCTAATCAACTCCTCGAGTCTTTGAGCAGAATGACTGTTAATCCTGAAGAAAGTTTGTGCCTCTGGTATTTTGTTGTTTAAAATGGCATTGGCAATAACTTCCTAGGAAAGAAGGAAGGAAGAAAAATATTTGCTTTTTGAGTTCCTTTCTATTACCTTATTATGATGATCAACATGGGACTTATACATTTATTGAGTACCTCAATAAGGGACTTTACTGAAAACCTTCTACTAGGTTTGGGGCTTTGCACAGGGGACATGAATTGACCGAAAGATGGACTCTGCTCTCTAGGAGGTTTTAGACTAGTAGAAGAAATGCAAATAAAGCACTGATTATAGTACTGTATGATAAGGGTGATGATATAGGTATCCCAGGGTTCCAGAGAGGAGGGTCCAGAAAAGGAACATCTAAATAAGAGAGATGAAAAAAAAAAGGTTTCCTAGTAGAGTTGACTGATAAAGTAAAAGTTTTAAAGACAAGTATGTGTTACATACGTTTACTGAAAAAAGAACATATGTTCCAAAAAGAGAATATTATATGCAGAGGCATAAAGGCAAGAAACAGTATCAAGCATTCAGAGAACTCCAAATTACTTAATATAACTGAAGAAAAAGCTGAGAGTAGCAGGCGAGACTTGAAAGAAAAGCAAAGGCTCCATCATAAAGGGCATTGTGTGTGTGAGATGGATTTTATCCTTAAACTTATGCAGAGCCACTGAAGGATCTTAAAAGCAAGGGTGATATAATCATATATATATATTTTAGGAAGATATATATATTTTAAAAAGAACATGCATTCATATGCATGTTTTTGGAGACAGTGTCCACTGCTTTCATCAAAGTGGACTGTAACCTCCCCCAAAATTAGAAATCAATGATTATGAGTAAAAAGAGCAGAAGACCATAGATGAAGCCATGGAGCACATTAAAAGAGGGGAAAACAGGAAATGAATGAAACCTGTGAAGGAGACGGGAAGAGGGAAGCCCAAAAGAGTGGAAAGAAAATCAAGTAATTTTTGGCTAGAGAATGATTAAGAGACAGAAAATGCAGTCACAGCAGGTAATTCCCTACCCTTCCACCCCAAGAAGAGCAGGCTTGTGAACCTGACAGCATCTCAACCTTATCAACCTTCAAACCCTATCAACTCTGATCCTCTGGGTTAAGCTATTCTGGCCTTTGTCTTTCCAATGCCAACACTCTCCAAGAGGTTAGAGGAATTTTTCCAGTCCCTAGTCAGAAAAAAGAATCAGAGTTTGGCTGTATTAACTTATACTATACAAAGAAAGGCAAGTTGATAAATACAGGAAACTTAATTTACAAAATATCTTAACTAGAATCTGAGATAAGACTCGAATATACTTCTAAGCAACAATATCATAAATTTTCCTAAGATAGAATCAACAGCAGCAATTTGATTTATTCAAGGGTCAGGCAGAATGCATAAGTCCAAAGTGCCAGGCCCTAGACATTGAAGAAGTGACAGTTCACAGTGAGTTTGGGGCTGGGTGTTTGTCCCTGGATCCAAATAGGCACATCTGGCATAAAGAGGGAGCCTATCTGTGTTCTGAATTAAATAAATGAAACTTGTAGACATAAATTTGAAGTTGTGCCCAGAGATCCAAAAATCTATAAAACCTAAAACCCTTGCCAAAGATTCTGAATCACAAGTGTACAGATTCTAAATTCTGTTTCTTCTATCATTTTCTCAGATCCTCTAAATCTGGCAAATAAAAGAAGTGATAATTACTCATATTTACCTCAATGCTGAGCTTCTCCCATATATTGCTCTCCTTTACTTTGGGGACATTTTCATTTACATCATATTCATCTATAGCATCTGTTAGCTTCCAAGGAAACTTTATCATGAAGGTTCGAAGTTCATTAATGTAGCTGGTCAAAATGTTCACTCCTTTCTGTAGATGTTCATCTAGCCCTATGGAAAACATCCATGTGCCAATTTCATATACATAAATGTGTGTGTGTGTGTGCACGTGTGCACAGAGTAAACTATGAGCTATTATAAAGAAGTTTACAAAATGGCAAAATTCAAACTCAGCGTTTTCATGTCAAACAAAAAATCTCTGAGCTTTCTCCTATTTACAAGTACATCCATGTTTTAATATAACCCTTTTCACCCTCTTCACAATGATTAGTTCTTTCTGCCAAATTTCCCAGTATTAAAACCCAATTCACTCACTCAGTTACACACTGACTTTACCCAACCTAAGCAAATGGCACTCCCCAGCTTATGCTCTCTCACGCAATAGGACCACTTATATCTCTGTCCTGACATAAGAATGAGCTAATTATCCCCTTCTTTGCTGCTGTTTTTACCTTCATTGTGAATAAAAAGCTCCTTTATTTGTTTGTTAAGGAAAGACAGTGTAAGATTAAGCAACTGTTCCGAAAAGTGTTTGCTCTGGGTTTCAGAATCATTTTCTCTAATTGCTGAGCAAAGTAAATCCAATGCTGGTGTCAGCTCTTCGACATCTGAGGAAAAACCAAAGACAAGAACATGAAGAACACCAGGATACCCCCAGTAAAATTAACCTATGCAGAAATACCATGCTGCAATATCTTAAAACATAAGACAAAGACTAATGTCTTATTCTCGAAAAGCTCACAAAACTTTAATGAAGTCTCATTACTTGCAAACTTTAGCTACTCTACTTACTACTAGTCATCATTTACTGGTACTACTAGTAACTACGATTTTGCTGACCAACTACTATATTTTAAATACTGTACTTGGTGTTTTATAAATGCTATCTCATTTATTCCATTTAACAACCTGAGAGGTAGGTGTTATAGCCCCCTTTCTACAGATGAGGAAACTGAGGTTTAGCGAGGATAAATAACTTGTCCAAGCTAATTTGAAAGTAAGTGGCACAGACAAAATTTGAATTTAAGCCTGTCTGATTCCAAAACCAGGTGAAAGCAAGGCCCCTGAATCCTCTATTTGCCAGCTTCAAATAAATAAAATGATTCCTGTTTATCTTAGCATTGGCCCCACCTCTAGAATTGTACCTGTGTGAGAATGATGGGAAACATGGATTTTACCCTGAGAAAGCAGGTAAAGTTAGTCCTATGCTTCTTGTTTCCAGATCCATCCCCACTCTTTAAGGAAAAGCAGTGCAGCTGAGAGTGGAGTAAGGAGTAATCACTGACCACCCAACAGCAGAAGTGAGCAATGACCATATAATCATTGATGGAGTCCCCCTCAACATCACAAACCAGGCCTTTCTCTATAAATTCAAGCAGATTAAAAAAAAACAATGGAGCATAAAAAAGTTAGCAATTCAAGAGGGAGGAGACCAAACTCTGCATGGAAAACAAAAGAGAATGTTTTTAAAAAAGAAAATTTCTAATCCACAGTCAGTAAGGACTAACGTTAAATTGATAGAAAAAGTAGGTTGTCATTTTCTCTGCTTAAGAGTACAAATTGGTGAAACTTTTCTGGAGGATAATTTATAAAAAAATTTAAGAATGTAAATTGTGTGTCTCTTTGACCTGTGAATTCCACATCTAGAAATTAATCCCAATAATTGTACATATGTGAAATTACACAAACACACAGCATTTATAACACATTGCCAATAATAGTAAAAATTACAATCAGCCTAAATGTGTAATAGGAGTTTAGTTGGGTAAATTATGGTACAGCCCATACAATGAACTTCTATGCCACCATAAATAATAGGTATATCTATCATTACCAAGAAAGATGTCTGTAACATATTATTAAGTGAAAAAAAAAAAGCAGATTATAAAACTTTATGTACAAGGGAAAACACACTTTATTACCCTGTCCTCCAAAGAGAGGATTTGCATGACTACCTGGTCCAAGAAGAAAAGCAGAGCTCCCGTTTATTAAAAATGAAAGCCAAAGTCTTGAAGTGTTGCTAATGTAGCAAAAAAGCAGAAGAGTCAGGCTGAAAAGTCTTATAACAAGCCCCAGTCCCCAACTCAGCCAGCTGCACTGCCACTATACATCAATATCTCAGACAACTGCAAGAGCTGGAAATTTTTGCAAATGAAGTTTATTCGCTTTTGAATAAAATGCTCTTGAATTTGAAAGATCATCTCTTCTTTGCATACCAAAGATACAAAGCACAGTACAGGATATGAATAATCAACGCATATGATAAGAACATTTATAGATTCTCACAACTATCTCAAGATTCCAGAAAGTAAATAAAATGTTATGACTGACTCCTGGCAAGTAAATAAGTCATCAGAAAACACAACAATAATTTGAAAGTGATTAAAAAGGAAAAATGATAAATACAAATGTAGAAGTCTCTACTCTACTTACATTTTAAATATAAATGGGATGGAAAGTGATCAAACTGATCAGGTACAGAAGATTTTGAGGATGGACTCAAAAGATTTTCCTTGCTCTTCAAAAAGAAATCTACTGTGTCCAGCTGACGATTTTCTATTCCTGCCTGAGGTAGGAGAAAATCAGAAAAAAATTACAATAGGAAAAAAAATTGGGATACAGATTTTTTAAACTTTACAACTTAATGTACTAACACAAAGAGACACAGGCTATCTTTTTTTTTTTTAAGATTTATGTTTATTTATTTATTTTTGGCCGCGTCAGGTCTTTAGTTGCAGCACGCGGGATCTTCGTTGAGGCATGCAGAATCTTTCATCGCGGCGCACAGGCTCTTCGCTGCAGCGCACAGCCTTCTCTCTAGTTGGGGCATGCGGGTATTCTCTCTCTGGTTGTGGTGCGCAGGCTCCAGGGTGCATGGGCTCTGTAGCTGTGGTGTGCAGGTTCCAAAGCACGTGGGCTCTGTAGTTTGTGGCACGCAGGCTCTCTAGTTGAGGCGCGTGAACTCATTAGTTGTGGCGTGCGGGCTTAGTTGCCCCGTAGCATGTGGGATCTTAGTTCCCTGACCAGGGATCGAATCCGCATCCTCTGCATTGGAAGGCAGGTTCTTTACCACTGGACCACCAGGGAAGTCCCCACAAGGCTATCTTTATCTTGCAAGAGTACCTGAGTTCTAGTGAGGATTCTGACAATGACCATGTGACTTGGGGCAAGTCTCTGTAACCTTTCTGAATATCAGTTCTGCTTTAGTTCTACCATTCTGTAATTCTAACACCATTCAAAGCTAGGTACTCAGGGATCACCCTCACAGTTATCGTCTATTTGAATTAAAATGTTAAAGCAGTATGATAAAAAGTTAAACTGAAAAAGCAGGCTAAATATAGATTCCCATTTCTAAAGTAGGCATTTGAGGAAAGTTTTCTATAAAGAACATGTAAAAATCACAGATTTAAAAATATATATATATACAGTTGACCCTTGAACAACTCAGGAGTTAGGGACGCTGACCCTCCCGTGCAGTGAAAAACCCATGTATAACTCTGCAGTCATCACTCTGAATCAGAGGTTCCACATCCATGTATTCAACCAACCTTGGATTGTGCAGTACTGTAGTACTCACTATTGAAAAAAGTCATCATACAAGGGGACCTGCGCAGCTCAAACCCATGTTGTTCAAGGGTCAATTACGTGTGTGTGTGTTTATAAAATATACCTTTAAATGCTCAGCTGAACTGGAAAGAAAGAGAAGAATCCTCAGAGAGTACAAACAAATCTCTGATGACCTAAATAAAGCAGGGGCTGAAAAACAGGGCCCACCAACCAAATTCAACTCCTGTCTGTCTTTGTAAATGAAGTTTTATGGGAACACGGCCACATCCGTTCATTTACCTATTGTCAATGGCTATAATGGCATATCTGAGTATTTGTAACAGAAATCTTCCTGGAAAGCCTAAAATATTTATTCTCTGGTCCTTGACAGAAAAAGTTTCCCATGCCTAGCCTAAAGCACTGTGCCTAAGAATCACCTGGAGAGCTTGTTAAAATGTGGATTGCTGAGCCCATTCCCCAGAGATTCTGATTCCCTAAGTCTGGGTTGGGGCCTGAAAATTTACATTTCTAATAAATCTGCAGGCGATGGTGATGCTGCTGGTCTGGGGACCACACTGAGAATCAATGGGCTGAAGTTCTGGGTGCTAGGCCAGGTGGGTTAGGTGAGAAGTATTGGTGAAAGTTATGTGTGAAGGAAGAAAAGAGAGGATAAACCTAGGGTCTATGCACAGTGACAATCTCCAAAAGAAGATGAACTAGAAAAATTACTCCACCAGAGGGAGACCATAAACAAGCCACGCCTTTGCACTAGGTAGTGAAAGGAAAAACTATACTATGTATGGTTAAATATTATTGCTCTTAGGAGATATATGTTAAAGTACTTAGAATGAAAAGTTACAAAGTTTCTAACTTTCGAATAGTTCAGCAAAAATAAGAAGTACACATACAGTTAAAACAAATGTGGCAAAATGTTAAGTTGGTGAATGGGAAAGAGGTAAATGGATGCTCATTTTATTATTTTTATAATTTTTCTATAAATTTGAAAAATTTCAAAATAACACATTTAAAAATAATGACCAAAGAAGTAATTCTAGAAATTGAAAAAATAAAAATTGAAACTAGATACTCAGTGGATGTATTTAATACCAGATTAGATATAGCTGAAGAGAAGTAGCGAGCTGAAAGAGTGATATAAAGGAATTATCCGAAGACATGAGTTAAGAGAGGTTAAGAGAAACTGAGGAAAAGTATGAAAATTCTAACTACTTCTGACTGAAGTACCATTGTGACAACTAGAAAATGCACATTCAATTTTCACACACATGGAACATTTATGAAACTGAGTACTTACTAGGCTATACCTGAGTCTCAACAAATTCACTCGTTTGTATGTGGGGGGAGACTAAGGCCAAAACAATGCTGTAATACCACATCATCCTAATTAAACTCACTACATGGACACACTCTGTATAAAGACAGAGGCTTTACAGTCACACTGCCTGGGTTCAAACCCTGGTGCTACTGCTTAGTGTCCAAGTGTATCTGTATTAGAATTCACAACCTCTCTGTGTTCCCTCACCTATAAAATGGAAATAATAAACAATATTTACCTATGGATAAGAAAATTAATGAGCTAGCATCTGACTATTAACATTAATATTTAGGAAAAATAACTATAGGAAATAACCCAAGAGTAAACACTATTCCTTCTGAATAATAGATTTATGAGACTAATTTTCTTTTTTCTATTCTCAAATTTTCTACAATAAATATTTTGTAGTATATAAAGGTAAGTTTTTCAACGAATGGTGCTGGACTATTGAATATCCACATGCAAAAGAATGAGGTTGGGTCCCTTCCACTGATCATACATAAAAATTAATCAAAATGCATCAAAGACCTAAATGTAAGAGCTAAAACTATAAAAGTCTTATAAGAGTAAACCTTCATGACCTCAGAATAGGCACTCGTTTCTTAGATATGACACCAGAAGCCCAAGTGACCAAAAAACAAAACAAAAACCCCAAAAAACAAAAAAAAGGTAAACTAACTTCATCAAAATTAAAAACTTTTGTGTTTCAAAGGACACCATCAAGAAGGTGAAAAGACAACCCACAGAACAGGAGAAAATATTCACAAATCATATATCTCATAAAGGTCTAGAATATAGAAAGAACTCTCAGAATTCAAAAATAAAAACAAATAACTCAATTACAAAGTGAACAAAGGATTTAAGTAGACATTTCTCCAAAGAGATACACACATGGCCAATAAGCATTTGAAAACATGTTCAACACATTAGTCATTAGGAAATGCAAGTCAAAACCACAATGAGATACCACTTCACTTTGACTTCAGAGCTAGTAGGATGGCTATGATAATAAAAAATTGGACAATAACAAGTTTTGGTGAGAATGGAGAGCTACAGGAACTCCCATACATTGCTGGTGGGAATGTAAAATAGTGTAACCACTGTGAAACTGTGAAAACAGTTTGGTGGTTCTTCAGAAAGTTAAATGACTTCGTAATTCCACTGCCAGGTGTATACCCAAGAGAAATAAACACACATGACGACACAAAAACTAGTACACCACCTTTCATAGCAGGATAATTCCTAACAGCCAAAAAGGAAAAACCACCTAAACGTCCATCGACTGATGAATGGATAAAAAACATCTGCTTTATCCACATAATGGAATGTTATTCAGCCATAAAAACGAATGAAGTACTGACACATGCTACATGGATGAGCCTTGAAAACATGCCAAATCAAAGAAGCCAGTCATGAAAGGCCACATTTTTATAATTCCATTTATATGAAACTGTCAGAATAGGCAAATCCAGAGACAGAAACGAGATTAAGTGTTTGGAAATTAGGGTTTTTGAGGAATTGGGAGTGATTGCTAATGGGTATGCTGTTTCTCTTTGGGGTGATGAAAATGTTATGGAATTAGGATGGTTGTATAACTCTGAATATACTAAAACCCACTGAATTGTACATTAGATAGGTGAATTTTATGGTATGTAAAGTATATCTCAATAAAGCTGCCACTAAAAAAAGTCTGGTACATAACATTATTAACTTCCAGTTTTCGACCTTGCTGGGCTGTGTGGTACAGTAGAAAGTGCCCTGATTTTGATTCTAGAACCCCATAGTATGGCTACCCACTCACTCAACCCTTCTGAGCCTTACGTTTTTCATCTGTAAAATGAAATGAATAAAAACTACCCAACCCGTCCCATGTGGTTATTTTAGCACAATTTAGAGAATGCATAAAAAAGAGTGTTTGTGAACTATAAAATGCTACATGAATTCAGGTATGTCACTACCACAGCTGGATTAGAGGATTAGGGGCTATAGAGTAGGAATAAGAGATCACTCCTGCTCGAGCTTTCCATAGCTTGTTTCCACTTCATTTATTCTCATCAGCTTATTGTTGCCTCCAACTCTTGTAACTTTTTTTTCTTAAATAGTGTTTATTATAATCTTTTATCTTTAGCTTTAAAGCCAAAAAGGGTAAACTGCTAAGCAAAATTAGGGTAACAAAACAGCCAAAACTAAGCAAATGGATGGGTAGAGGCTACAGATCCTTTGCTGCTAGGTTAAATAAATCTCTGAAATTGTTAGTCAAATAAGGGTAGATGACAGAAAATAACCAAGCAAAGTTCTACAGACCATTTAATTCTGTTACCTCTAGTGCATGTATGGGGATGGAGCACCTCCCCCAACCATTGAGATGGCAAAGAGAGTCCACAGTGCTGGCACTTCCATGGATCATTAGTCTATTTAAAAATTCCTCTTGAGTCAAACCAAACAAAATCAGAGAGAGTCCATCTTCTATAAGAAAAAAAAATTAGCTTTAATAAATTATTAGGAGTTAGGTTTTAGGATTATGACAGGAATTTCTAATTACTCAATACTTCAGCACTGTAATTACAAATAGATTTATTGGGTACTAGTAACTAATGACCTTAAGTAATAAATTCATCTAAATTTTTCAAAGAATGTTATTTTTTAAAACAGTAACTGCAAGACAAATGCTCATAAGAACAATGCATCCTATGAAATAACATTGAACCTCTCTTTTCTACATTGTACTATATTGCACAATCAATACCTGGAACCTTTAACTATTTACCGAGATGTCACATTTCTGGTTTACTAAAATAAAACAATAGCATGCTCTTGACACAAAGAAATACATGATTACCAAAACTGAGATACTGAAGAAGAAACACACGGTTAGTTCAATGAGAACACTCAGTAGTTTTATAGGAGGTTATGGCATAAATGCTGAATCAATGTATATCTGACACACCAAACCCAAATGCCTATGGGACCAAACAGGTGAGGAGAAGAAGTGCAAGAAAACCTAACCTGAAAGAAACTAACCCATCTAAGAGCACTGAAATTTGGCTCCAATCCCTAAATTACTATGAGGGATGAGGGGCAGTGTGGCAGATCTTTTAATTTTTCAGTAACAACTGAAATTCCAGATTTCGTGTGAAACCCTCTAATTTTACATGTTTATAATAAATAAAATCTTTTTTAAAAAGCCTAGGTAGGGCTTCCCTGGTGGTGCAGTGGTTGAGAGTCCGCCTGCCGATGCAGGGGACACGGGT